GCATGCCTCCCGGTCTTATTCCTTCGGGTTTACACTGGATATGGGGTGTGTGGGTGGAGCTGTGGATGGTGCAGCGCAAGCCACCCATGGTCCCTCTGTAGACGCAGGCGTCCTGTGGTTGGCCATAGTGACAGGAAAATCCGAAACCGGATGCCGCCAACCATGTGTGTCCGAAACTAGGATCAATGACCCTAACGGGATTATTGAACTAACTGCACCCGGCTTGTCCTCTCGTTATTGGTTGCACACATCCGGAGACGCCGATGCAGCACTCACGGGTCAAGCTGGTGTAGGTATGGTTCTAACCTTCAAAGCTAAGCCATCGTCGATTGACTGGATTCCGGTGAACAGCCGTTTATGTGCAGCCCGTTTGATTACATCAGCCAAGATTGATTTACGAAGCAGTACAAAACGCTGTTTGTTTGTGATTTCTGCTTATGCTCCCACCGACTGCAGTTCTAATGCAGTCAAGGACACATTCTATCACGAACTGAACGCTCTACTACGCAGTGCTACTAGTTCAGATATTATAGTACTTGCAGGGGATATGGACGCACAGCTAGGGCGTCTGAGCGCTTCAGAAGCTCAGCTGGGTGGAAAGTATAGACTTAACTCCAAACGGACTGACAACGGTGAGTGTCTGCTGCAACTATGTGCGGAGCACCAGTTGTTTCTTAGTAGCACTGCTTTTAGACACAGTGGGCGCCGAAGTGCCACTTGGCGTCCTCCTGTAGCTGGCCAGCGATGGACCCAAATTGACCACATAGCCATAAGTGACAGGTGGCGTGGTTCCATCCTGGATCGCCGCTCATACTGGAGTACCTGTGTCGACTTTGTTCATGCCTTGGTACGTCGTCGTTTCTCCATGAACTTTACCGGGAAGCGCACCAAGTGTCCCCTCCGATTGGCAACTGAGAAATTGTCTCAACCTTCGGTCAGGCAAGCCTATCAAGACACACTGCATACCGAACTTCCGCTGTGTTGTTCTAGTAACACTGAGCTTCAGTGGAATAGGATCTCGGCCGCCATGCACGACACACGAGCATCTGCTTGTAGCACTATCCATCGTCACCGCACCAGTTAGTGGATATCCGAGAGGGCGGTGAACCTGTTGGAAGCTAGAAGACACCTCCCTGCTGAATCTGAACACAATGTGACCAGACGGGCTATTAGGCGCGAACTAAAGCGGAGCCTACGTCCTGACAAGGAAGCCTGGTGGACCAGTAGGGCTCAAGAAATGGAGGAGGCAGGAGCAGTAGGTAATTACCGCAAGCTTTTCCAGCTAATCCGAACACGGATCCCAGAAAACCAGGCGTCAGTGAAAAAATCAGAGACAGCGCGGGTACGCTGATACACAATAAGGAGCGCCGTATGGCTCGTTAGGCGGAACACTTTCAAGATCAGTTCAGCTGGCCCCCTGCTCCCGGACCTCTTCCTACTCAGGTGATGCAGGACGTGCCATGGACGGTTAGTTTAGAGCCTCCGTCGGAGGCCCAGGACCGAAGCGCGATCACAGCCCTTAATCGTTTTCGTGCCGCTGGCCCGGATTCCCTACCACCTGCACTATTTAAGGATGGAGGTGAGGCCATCTGCAAAGCACTGACCTCCCTATTCGAACGTATCCGGAAGGAAGTGTCCTGGCTAAGTGGAGCGAATCGATTATAATGGCGATATGCAAGAAGGGCAGTCGCACAGACTGTTATAACCAGTGGGGTATTAGCCTAACGCCAGTTGTGACAAAAGTACTGACCTCGATTCTTGTTCGTCACCTCACTGCGGAACGGGAAGCTCGGATTAGGGAAGAGAAGGCCGGTTTCCGCCCAGGACGCGGCTGTGTAGACTATATATTCGCTTCGCGGCAGGTGCTAGAGCAGCACCACGCATACCGCAGATCCACAATAGTTGTGTCCCTCCATATCAAGAGTGCCTTCGATTCAGTCGATCGATCGATTCTGTTCGAAATACTTGCGCGGAAAGGCATTCCCACGAAATATGTGAACATCCTTCGTGCTCTGTACTCGAACACTACAGGCCGCGTCAGGGTCTACAGTGGCCTAGCGGATAGCTTTCCGACGACAAGTGGCGTTCGTCAGAGTTATCCAATTTCCCCATTTCTGTTGAATTTCGTTGTGGATTCTATCATGGAGTGTTCCCTTGGGGAATCTCACGATGTATGCGTTGAAGTGTTGCTTGGTGAAAGATTAGTTGATCTTGATTATGCGGACGATATCGTCTTGCTTTTCGAGGATGTTGCGGCGGCCCAACCAACCCTGAATAGCCTGTCCAGAGTGGTCCCATTATTTGGTATGCACTTCGCACCTTCAAAATGCAAAGTGTTGCTGCAGGACCACCAGCCACTTGATGACCCCTTGACGCTTGCTAACGAGGAACCCGAGATGGTTGATCATTGTACTTATCTCGGCAGATGCATCAGCAATGATGGGCGTATAGAAACTGACGTGAGCTCACGCATTGCAAAGGCCAGAGCTGCCTTCTTGAACCCAAGGCATCTTTGGCGACAGAAGGGAGTTTCTCTACGTCTGAAAAGCCGCGTATACAAGGCCACAGTGAGGGCCGTTCTGCTCTATGGGAGTGAGACTTGGCCCCTTCGGTCTGAAGATCTGAGGCGTCTTCAGGTCTTTGATCACCGTTGTCTGTGAAGCATTGCTGGAGTCGGATGGCACCAACGTGTCCGCAACGATGATGTGTGTAGGCGAGTACTAGGTGGTGATAATCATGCTAGCTCCCTAGAACAACAGATAACACTGAATAAGTTGCGTTGGCTCGGGCACGTGCTACGCATGCCTGCTCACTGCTTACCTAGGACGGCCTTGTTTAGTCTGCCTGGTGGCGCAAGGCTCGAGGTGGACAGAAGTTGATGTGGCAGTGGGAAATGAAGTCACTGATGACTAAACTGGGTGCCGTTGGTCCGTCTCGTCTACCGGGCTGGGGTCCACGTAACTCGCCTTGTGCTTGGTTCGAGAATTTACAGGACATGGCTCGCAACCCACACCAGTGGCGCATCTGCCGTTGTCTCCTAATCCGATTGCCTGTTTATAATGTGTTTGTTGCTGAGTTATCTGCGGGGTAATGGCTGATTATGACGCGGGGCAGTGAAAGCCGCAAGGAAGCTGTCTCGCCGATGCCGCCTTATCTTTGCACGATAGCCATCTGTTTGTGACGTTATGTTGTCTACACAAGATGTAGGCGCCTTGACCCTGAATGTTTGCTTAGGGCATTAAGGTTTTCAGGTAAGCCCCCCTTCTCTCCCTCTTCTTATTCTTTATTTCATAGGTCCTCATGGTTGTATGGCAGCGAAGCATCAGTTCAAATGGCTGATGTACTGCTGTGATGACCTGATGAATTCGTCAATGTACCGACGCGAAGTCGCATCGGGAGTGTACACTCCACGTTAGATGTTATGATCACCAAACATGGTCGATTAGCAGAGCTGCAAATGGAAGCACCTATAGGTAAGAGTGATCGTTGCATCCTTACCTTTTCCTTAAACACACCGAAACTTATAAGGATTCCTCGATTCGCGAGTAGCTTCGGTCGAATTGATTGCATGAAACTGTGGGACAGGGCCCTCCAGGTCAACTGGATTCCTGACTAGCAACAGGCAACTTTGGAACAGAGGTGGTTAATGCTTGAAACCGTATTGAAAAACTACTGAACGAGTTTGCTCATTTCCGTCGTGAGGCAATTCAGTAAGCTTCGGTGGTAGAGGAGAATCGATAGAGCACTAAAGAGGCGTTATTAGAAGTAGAAGAGATCCAATCAATCCAACGGCTGTTGACGATGGATGCAGTACACAAAATGCCGGAATACGGCTATCAAATTGCAACGGCAGGCTAAATACTTATATGAGCTTAGGCTGGCCCAGTATGCAAAAACAAATACAGTTATTATAGCTATGTCTAGTCTAGAGCCTTCTTAAGAGAGAAAGTTGGTTGTCTAACCATGGAAGACGGAAGTCAGGTTGTAGAAGCCGGGGATAAAGGGGAAGTGCTGCGACGGGTCTAGCAGAATGTGCACAGGAGGGATAGTGGATGTTATACAAATTTAGTAGTGTTGATACTACATACACGAAAATGCAGGGATTGCTCTTGTTCTTGCTTCATTTTTTGCAGGAGCAAGGAGGCGATCAAAAGACGAAGTGCCAAGGGCTTTGATCCCCTTACCGGTACAAGGTGGACGCTCGCTAGGCGGAAGCTTGTGTCATCCTTGGATCTTTACCTGATCTGACCTGAACATGGGTAAGTTTGCGTTGTTACGGGTGTCCGATATCCATCCGATATGGGGGTGAAATCGGTGTGTGGAAACGAGGACTTTGAAATCGGAGAGAAAAGGGTTGCGCAAATAAACACTGTTTCATTATTATCCTGTGTGTGTAGCTCCTACACAATACATGTTTCCGACCTCAAAATAGTATTTTAGAGTATTGCAAAAGAGTTCCGTAGGTTTTTTTAATAGTGGGTGCAGCCTGAACAATCGTTAAGAAGCAGAAACAAACAGGAATGGGGAGTGGGAATTAACGGAAAATGGTATTAGAAGTGTTGCCAAGTTTTGTTTGGATTGTCCGATTTCCGTCCGAAATTTGTTCCGCGTAGCCGTTTGGATAGATATAGGACGGTTACCGGATTGGAACCGGGCGGAAATCGGTCATTTGACGAACACGTGCTATCAAGGGGAGAATCTCATTGTTCCGGTCGTGACCACCTATGCGGAACAGCTAGACGTCCATCTTTGTCGACAAGGCGGTGAGAGGTGGAATAAAACACAATTACGAGCAAACAGACGAGCCACCTATAACATGAGATGCGAAAAGCTGACTTTCACAGCCAATTGAATCGAGGGGAAATATAAATAGAATACTGTATTTGAAAAGCTACTCACATAATGCCTTCGTTATATACGTTGTGCAAACTAGTCATCGATAGTTAAAAGAAGTGAGTTGCATGGTGCACCAAGGATCGTACGAAACGGTTTGGGCTTACCCCGCTGAAAAATCTCTGACCACAATCTCGCAATGCTCTCAGCATGTTCAGGAAGTGTCAAAATAAACGACGAAGCGTCCTTTACGTGCTTGGAGCACAAGGTAACAGAGCAGAGCTTCTGATTGACTTGCTCTTTGACAGACACAAAATGATCCATGCGACAACAGAACGGCGCGGAGCAACCACAGTGAAGTAAGTGGGCTAAATTGGTGTGTGCAGCTGGGTACGGCAGCTTTTTTTTGGTCACTTTGAGAAATAGAGAGGAAAAGTCACTTTAGAAAAAGCATAAAATGCAAATTCTTGCAAAACTACCCGGATAAGTGGTTCATCCAGAAAAATCGTTTGAATGTGCCACCAAGTCCAGTTGCAGGTCAGGGCAAGTCAGGTCAAGAGCCAAGGCGATAGAGACTTTGGCTTACTGAGTGCCCTGCTTACTGTGCCGGCAATCAAATTAGAGCCCTTGGCACTCTTACGTTTGGTGGACTCTGCTTGCGGAATCTCGGGTATCACGTAGAGCAATCGAGCGCTCCAACGCGCTCCCAGAAAATGGGGTCAGGGAAACTACGGTTGAGGGTTTTAAGTACCATTACGACGCCGTTGGCGGTAGCAAAAAAGCTGCTTTCTCCTTATCATCATCACCATACTTTGATGCCATTTTTCGGTGTTTTGCTTCACTTATCGCTATTATCGTGCATGTAAATATACTTCTCGTTTTTCACCCGATATATTCTCCCCATGCCTTGACTAGTTCACATGATGGACACAACATGATATGCTAGTTCAGACGTGTGCAATAACTAATTGACCACGGTGTGGTTTGGGTGTTTCCTTTTAGCTCCATAAACGCCTCGATGCATCATTTCAATTAAAGGCACGAAGAAACAAACCTGGGGTTCTACGATGGATCCTTCCCGCTACATTATACCCTTAGCGAAGTGAAATGAAGCAGATATGAGGAGGATAACACTGGTGGAGTATAACACTGCTTTGGCCCCACGGTGCATCCTAATTACGGGACCGTAAAGAATTTGAGGATGTTGTGAATAAGTCTAACTGGCGAAAGCGGGATCATATTTAACTTTTCTGTCGCGAGAGGCTTGTAGCGACATGGTAGGTGTGGAAAGGAGCAGCCTGGCCGGGGCGTCTGCCAATGCGTGGTATACCGCCGCTTCCACAGCAAGCGAAGCAACGTCCGTGCAAAACGCTGGGTCATTTGCCAGTTGTTAGGGCTAACTTTAACATAAGTAGCGAGGTTACGATAGCAAGGATACATTTTTCTTCATTCGTTAGGTATGGTTGTGCAACCTAGGTGGATACCACTTACAACGCAGCCACGACTTCCATGTTGTATGTCCTTCGCCCTTGTGTTGTAAAGGTGTTTGAAGGTGACGAATGAGATGCAAATTCCATGCGTTGTCTCACTTCCCAGTCTTTAGTGTAGGTGCCGCAGTTTGACTCGCATCCTTTTTAGACGTTGTTTGAGCCATGGCAGCTACGCTGTTCATCAAGTCCAATTCCTGAGCTGTCGCTTGAATCGGTACAAAATCACTTGGATGTCAGTGTTCATCATACCTCCAAGATTTAGCGCTGCATCACCCTATGCATCATACTCGCGTCTGCCAAATAGTATTCCCGGTACGCCATAACGACCCTACTTCTGTACCGTTTCGACCTAAATATTTACAATTGTACTTCCTTATTCTTATTAGCACATGTATTGTAATTTTGCGGTGAGCAAACCTATCACTATGAGCTTCTCCGAACTCCGTTCCGCATTGTCGGCCCGGTCTGCTCCGTGCGTATTTGCGGTGTTTTCAAGGTGCTCGATCCTCGCCCAAATAGCTGCAAATTACCTTTGCTCGTGCTATGCTGTCCAAATTTTACTACGACTGGTTTGGAAGATACTCGAAGTCGGAATCATAAACGTACCGAGTCCTGTCTCTAAACTTCTCTGACCAGCAATTGCTTCGGACCACAGGATTTGATAAAACTGAACTGCAAAAGGATTGGCCAAGGAGATGCAACTACTGAAGACCCGACAAGCAAACGGCAAAAATGCGACATATGGCTGCCAATAACCGTGTTATCCAGGTCAAACAACAAATTAATTTGACCAACTGAAAGAACTTACATTACGACCGGCTAGCGGAAAAACCTACTCGTGGTGCCCGCTGGGTGGATCGGGTTTACCCCTTTCCAGCGAATAGTTCCGCTGAAGTGTGCCAGGAGGTAGTGTGTCTTCGCCTGGCAAGTGTTTCCTCTATAAAAGCCAAAAATGTCTGAAGACACCACTGTGACGTGGCGGTTGTGACGCGCCACCAACTAAAGCCACAGCTTTGCTTCTTCGGACAACCGCTACAATTCTGCAAACCGCAAGCATCCCTTTAGCACTGGCGACGCCAACAATAGTGCAGGAAAGCATTTACGATTCGCATTAACAAGGCTAAACGCGCCTACACGCCCACAAACATCCATTCATATATCAAAATAAGTGACAGCTCCATTGTTCCATTTCACATTAACTGAGCACCATTTATACTCTTACCGTGGTCATGTCTTTGCAGACTTGCCTCGCGTAGACGAACACAAACATTTTATTTACTTTAGTTATTTAGTTAATATAACATATCGTGCCTATTGCTATTGTTGCACTCGTGTAACAATACGAAAATAACGCGCGATTTCCAACCTTTACTACAACCATATCGCATTGCTAAAAACTCCTGAATCCTGTCATAAAATGTGCTTAGGTTAAGCTGTGATCAACTTATAACCGACGCATACATGCTTCTTCATTACTGAGCGTAAATTATGTAGCAGGGCGTTGCGCTAAAGCGTATCCAGCCGGTTAAATGAATAGGCACACGGGAACAGGGTGACGGTACTATTTCCGAACGGTTAGGTAGCGATAACAATACAGAACTAGCCAATGACTCTTGCACTCAACGCTGTTGCAATGACATGCAATTCGGTCCTAGGCCAACAGGAGTAGTTTCAGAGAGTCCATACGCTAGAGGGTACAGGACATGGGATGTTATAGGACAGGTAAAGTTAATGCGATTGGTTAAGCACAAACCGACTGTAGGGCGGATGAGTGAAGGAGAAGTTTTACCGAGATCGTAAATTGTGGGGTCAACGTACTTCAAAGAGGTACGGGCTCACATAAGATTAAACGTGCGTAGGAGGACAAGAAATCAGCAGGATGTGAACTGTTTGCACAGTTCGGATTCAATAAATCATCTGAACCGCCATGCCACATCACAGTAGTGGGTGGTAACATTTTCGCAACGAGCAGTCCATGCTCGCTGGTTAGCAGATATATGTATTGGAAACATAGCATCAGGGATCTTTCAGCACTCCCACCAATTTCGGACATAAATTTCAGCTTCGGAAACTTGAGTTTTCCTGGTTTACCCAAACCGGCTCCATTTGCTTGGGAGCAGAGTAGGGCTCAGAACGGTACACCTAAACTTCTCCACTTCGGTCTGTAAAATCCACGGTGGTCCCCCAGGTGGTGGGTGAGAAAGCCTACGTCCCACTTATGGAGCGTCAACAGCAGGGTCTGACCCCTTAGCCCATTTGACATCTGCCATGACGCGGAGCTTCACGAAAGACTGCTTGAAGTTTATCTTTCACCCTAGGATCACATATGCAAACAAGAGGCTCGGGAGCTTGGCCGCAGTTAGCCCTAAGCTGGGAAAGGGTGGATTTGTGGGGTGTCACTACAGCGTTCGCAAACAGTAACCTGTAATGTCCACCTGTTCCTGGGTTGATGAATGGTGCATAGTCGACGGCATCTAACCATTCTCTGAAGCGTTGCAGAATATGAGTGATTGTGGTGACTGTGTACCCTAGTAGCATCCACGTACACATGGGGATTTTATTTACCTTATCTTCGCAGTCTTGTGAACCAATAACACACATAGACATCATTCGGTAGATCGGCTTGTCCAAGCCGAGTTTATTCGTGCACTGTTTCTGTAAGAGAAGCTTGGCGGTCATGACACCAGGAGCAACCAAAACAAGGGGACGTAAATGGAGCACACTACAGAGGTGGTAGTTAGTCCTTGCTCTTAAAGCTCCTCCGCTTAAATTTGAATGCGTTTGTCCCACCCAGTCTCACGAGTGCGAGCGTCTCCTGCTTCCCAGTTTTTCCAGGCTTGAAGGCTTGGTTTACGGCAGACCTCCTACTACCTTCGCTTCCCTAACCTGGACAAGTCACTTTCTCACTGCCTTGGCAAGCCCTATCCTCTTGCACCTATGCTTACTTGTCTGTTTACTCTTCTCTTAAGTCCGCGTCACCATAACCTATTAATCATTGTAAACCGCTCTGGACTGGCCCAGTGGGACATGTTTCTCCTACCTTCTGACTACCCTGAAACTACTCTGAGACTTAAACACCCCAGCATAGGTTGATATACCACACCTTTTGTCTACCTTAGCTATATTGGTTACTCCTCCTCACAATGTTCCTGCTAACTTGGCGTTGCACGTCTCCGCATGCATTCTATTTCATTACTTCACATTATGCCGTAACCCGTCGGTATAAAATGCTTCGTTGCTACTAACATAAGCCACCTGGAACGTTCTACACATCCTTTCGGTGAAATAAGTTCATCTCAACTTAGCTGTAGTTCAAGCTTCCTATTTAAATTTTCGTTCTTAGTATTGCTCGTCTCGCCGTTGGTACTAGTGCAGCCGCACATTTCTGACCCTAGCCACCCACACCCCTATAGCTTTTTTATGTGGTCGCATGCACAACCTACACAATATTTGTCTTTTCTCTCCATTTGCTATTTTAAACATGTTGTAAACTATAAGACTATTAAATTCACAGTGCATGCTGGCACAACTGTTCTTGTTGGTCCGTTTATCTCCTTCTCTCTTCGCTTTTCCGAGGTCTGGATATATCACCAGGAACGTATACATGAGCTTTACATGGCCTATGGGTCTGCCACCAAGAGAACCTAAAAAGATAAGGTGGATCATAAGTACCTCCAGCGTATTTGCTTCCTTTCTGGTCTACTAACACTAGGTAACTGGATCCGGATACACAAATCCAGGAGATTGCAACAGCCGTGATCGGCCTACGAAACTAACAGAGACAAATGATTACCACAGCATGCCTAAAGCAATCGATAACCACGGAGCTTTTGACCCTGAATGTCATTCATCCAAGCACTAGCTTAAGGCTTGTCAGCAACTACAGGCTCCTAAACAGACAACGCAA